CACTTTCTGGAAAATGAACGGAAAACGTTTCCATAGTCGACCTAAATATAAATTCCATACTAAGGTTCTAATGGCGGCAATAAACCCATTAGCTTATCAATAAGTTCCACTTATCAATGCACAAAGCCAAGTCGGCATCATTGGCAAGACGACAGGCTTCATTCGGCTAAAGCCCTAAAAATTTACCTGTTAAAATTAACTATCATATGGGCTGAATTAGATCGACCACCTATAGAACATAGAGAGATTAGGGGAAGTTGCTAAATAGTTTCGTCAAGTTTGAGCAATAATTTTTTTATGTTTAATCGAAACTAGAAAATTTTACAGCGCATTCAAATTTAAGATTCCTCCACATTCCAGTAAAACTCTTGTCCGGAATGTGTCGACATTATTGTGAAATAATGCGAGAAAACCGTAGTGCACAGAACTGGCCAGTGACAAATACCTTTTTTCAGTTTAAGATAAATTAATAGTTTTAAGAAAAATAACGAAAGATCCAGACTAACTAAATTTACATCGCATTAGAACTAATACTTTGTTATTTTCCTGTGAAAATTTTGTACAGAAATCGGTTAAAGCAGCCAAGTCGCCAAATAACTTTGTAAGTTTGATAGTTCAATCTGAAACGCGTCGTTAATTCCAACTAAAGTGTGGTAAAACCTTTCTAGTAATTAGTGCACGTTTAACATTATAAACGAAAACAATATTTAAAACTTCTCAAAACTCTGACTTTATTGGCCATAAGCTTCGAGTATAACTCGCGGATTCGTGCTTGCTGGAATAATAAAAACGACCGTTCCTTGCCCGTGAGTCACATAAATCGACGAACAAAACGCCTTTTGGTCTCCAAAATTTAGCATTCTAACCGTTGAAATGTATCGGGCATTTGAGCTGAAAGTCCACTGAATTTCTTGTTCAAGTCCCGTTTCTTCAGCCACCACAAATACATCTCTGACCAGCATAATATCAGCGGGTTGTCTCGATCTACAAAAAACTCCTTTAAGCTCAAACGAACTGGTGTATTTCCCCCTAATTCCTGTCATGTGTTTTTGAGCCTTAATCGTGGTAAAGGTCGATTCGAAAGAGACACGCGATATGGAAAAATAAAATTTACAGTATATTTCTTTGACAAAGGTCAGTCTGCTATAGACACAAAGAGAAAAGGGGCCACTGTCACAAATTTGTTAGACGTGAAAAATTAAATTTCGAAGAATATGCTTACCCATAAATTAAATCGCCTGCATTTGCCTGATAATAGGCCTTATTAGCTCCAATTTCTGCATGAAATTCGGTGCTGTTTTTATATTTTCTCAAAATCAGAAATTCTGATCGCTGATTTTCCAGGCCCAAAGCACAATTGATAACAAGCAAAAGCACTAGAATGGTAACTTCTGAAACATACATATTGGGCGAATTGAACATTCTGACTTTTAAATATTTTCCAGTTCCTTTATAAGCCATTTAAGCGATTGTTATGGAAATACACAGATAAGACAACAAAACACCTCCGTTAAACCACGATATATTTTGTAATAAAAAGCAGCAACCAACACATGAGATAACAACTATTTCGATATGGCAAAGCAGTTAAAGCAGTTTAAAAACAACTAAATTTTACTAACGCGAG